ATAAGAATCATTGTGTTTTTATTACCTTAGAATTAGCCTTTTCGATTTTTAACTTTAATGACTTGTTGAAAAGTCTGATTTATAGCCATAGCCAGTGTTTTATTTCTGCTCTGCCTTGAATGGCGGTTGTAATGGTAAACTATGTTTGTAGCTGGAGTCACAGAGCGAGCAGCTACAGCTGAAGGTGAGGACTCTCCAGCTGGACTGGGAGACTGAGCAGAAGAGGAGTGTGTCCTATTTCAACCAGATTATGGAATTGGAAAAGGAGAGAGACCAGGTCAGTGTGAATGGAGGGTCCAACACAGTTTCTAACCGTCTTACAGTGTGCATCAAGGCACATTTTCAGTCACCTGTGTTGCAGTTGAATCCACCTAGTGCAGGTTTAACTTAATAACCTCACATGTTTTTACACCATGCAAACTTCTTTTCTCTTTCTCATCTTTTCACCAGGCTCTGCACAGTCGAGACAGCCTGCAGTTGGAGTACACTGACTGTCTGCTGGATAAGAACCGTCTGCGGAAACGCATTGCAGAGCTGCAGGCCAACCTGGAGCAGCAGCAGAGGGAGCTGGAGAGAGAGAGGGAGAGGAGCCGGGAGCAGATGGAGCAGAGCAGCCCCTGTCTACACTGTGTGAGTTAACAACGGGGTCACAGCAAGTTAGGAGAGCAGCACTGTCCTTCCACTGCAACCACACAACATTTTATACATATTAAAATGATTCCCTGTGTCTGCCCCCCAGTCCCACCTGTCCCTCTGCAGTGAGGACCAGTGCTACGGCCCCTGCTGTTCCCTCGGCCTGGAACTGAGACCCCAGGCCAGTAGCAGCCGTCTGCTGCTGCGAAAGGTCAGGGCTGGCATTCAGCTACTATTTCACTCACATTCACAAAGTGCAGAATCACCATCGCCATGATTCAGAATCAGCTGGTTGTAGGAATGTGTTGCTGTTGTCAATCATAGGAGTTGTAGCTGCTGTTTATGTAGTGTAACCTCTTCTTTGTGTACTGTAACGGATCATTCCCACAAGACACAACTGTTCTGGAGACAACATGTTTTCTCCTGTTGTTAATACACTATATGAGGAATTTGGCTTTTGCACTGCCTAGGAAATGTCTTCAGCTGGACAAGGATCTTATTATTGTCTAGAGCATGAGACGCTGTAGTAAATCCTTATGCAACTCTTTGCGTGTTAGTACCTGCACAATACCTCTCACTAGCTGTGAGGTCATACTGTATTTACTTGTATTTCCTGTGCCACAGACGCCCTCTAGAGGCCAAGCCAATGATAACTCAATGGGTAAGTTGTGTGCACAGACAGCTGGAAGATGATTCTAAGGAATTTAAAGGAGTAGAAAATTACTTATACTTGATTACTTTATTTATTTCATATAGATGCACTTTAATTATAGAAATATTCTTTCTGCTCATTCACAGATTCTCAGTCCAACTCAGAGGAGAATCTCCTTTCGTCAGTGAGTATCACAGCTCTGCTCATTACCAAGCACAGAGAGAATGAAAAAGTGAATCTTTTTGTTTACCTCTCTATCCTCAGGCAGAAGATAATGAAAAGGAAATAAATCGACTGTCCACCTTCCCTTTTCCGCCATGTATGAACTCCATCAACCGGCGATTCAACACAGAGTGAGTGAGCCCCACATAACCCCACTGAATACATTCAGCCTGTTTTAACTTATTTCTTTACCTTTATTTCATTTGTTTAACACCCTTTTTCGCTCTGACAAGGTTTGACTTGGAGTCCTGGGGCAGTGATGAGAACGATAACATTACAGGTATAGTTGATTGTGTCATGTTTGTGTGTCAACCGTCACAGTCTTCTTTAAAAACAAAATGAGGCCTCTGGGTGCTTCTTAACTTCAACAAACAAATTAGCTTCTAAATGATTGTCTTCAATTCTGTAATTGTTTCATTTGGCATCCAAGTAGTACATCGTGAGGGTAAGTTATGAGGCTCTCCGGTGTTTTCAGGTGAGCCGAGTGAACCTTCTTTGTGGGATTCCTGTAACTCCCTACACTCTCATCTCTTCCCCCCTGACCTGGTCAACCTGCCTGTAGTCTCTTCACACCAACCCAATGTCCCCAGGTACAACCTCAGTTCCAAAACCTTGATGAAAGCATTGACATATGTGATGGCTTCCTGTTTAATAATCAATGATCTCATTAATACGCTGCTTGCACCAACATCTTAACACCTTCTTAGATAGGACTGATGATGATGCAAAGGTCCTGACTGACGAACTGCAGTATAAAACATTTTAGATTTATTTTACAAGGCTATTGTGTGAATATTTTAAGTTAAGATCTTATTTCGTTCCTCAATATGCAACCAAAAATGATTTTCTAGCATATAGTTAAGTGATTAACGTCTCATTAAACATGAAAAATATGGTACAACGGTTTCTAAAAGGGTTTAATACTGTAAGTGCAAATATTCACAATACATACATAATGTGAATATATGATGAAAGGTTCACCTTTTGCTTATAGAAAAGCGAGTTGTACTGATCTTTGCCAAATCTCTGCCTAATGTCACCCCATCCTCTCTCAGGATACCCCCCCGCTCCCCATCTTCAAGCCCCCCCACCCCACCAAAGCACAGAAAAGCCAGTCTAGCTGACGATATTACGATAGTCGGAGGAAACCGAACAGGGATCTTTGTCAGCCATGTGAGAGCTGGTTCCCCCGCTGAACAGTGTGGACTAAAGGAGGGCAGTGAGCTCCTGGAGGTGTGTGTCTGTCTGTTTGGTGATAGATCGTGTGTGTGGGCTGTACGTGTGCACATGCTTAATAAAGAGAATGTGTCCGCCAATGCTTATTTGTGAATTGTTTTGGACAAATGCATATTACAGTTCGGCGTGCAGATGTGTGCAATCTCTTTGAAAAAAGGGTAAAAAAGATGATGAATATAAGAATGTGTGGCTGGAACATAACATGTAGCTTTCTCTTCATGTTGTCCAGCTGGAGCGGGTCCTGTTCGGTGGGGGCAGTGTGCTGATGGCCCAGTGCACTGCTGAGGTTGCCCACTTTTCTCTGCAGTGGTGGACCGAGCCTTCAACACTCAAACACCAGAGCAACCCAGAGGGTGAGTCCATATACTTACAGATTTAAAAGGATGAATATAATATGAATATACTGAGACTATAAGCCGCCCCCTCTCCTGTTTCCTGTCCTCAGCGTACTCCAAGCTGTGCTCCCAGCTCTCGTCGCCTACATTTACGGGTGCTGACTCCTTCTATGTGCGTGTCAATCTCAACATGGATGCTCACGGTGACTCGCCGTCTCTGGGTGTGTCCTGTGACGACATTATACATGTCACAGACACAAAGTACAATGGAAAATACCACTGGCGCTGTTCCCTGGTGGACCCCCGCACAGCCAAGCCCCTGCAGGAAGGAACCATGCCCAACTACAACAGGTATCTTACTGCTGTATTATTTTAGACCATATTCTAATTCAGGCCAAAAGGACTTTTTACAGTAGATCTGAAATACATAGTTTACATAAAAGTAAGAACTAAACACCATATTCAAACAATGCTGATACTGGAGTGTAAATAACCTGGATTGTACTATTGTCCATCTCAGGGCACAGCAGTTGTTACTTGTGAGGCTACGAAAAATGGCTCTGGAGCAAAAGGACCTCAAGAAGAAGGTGATGAATGTGCTCATGTTGAAATTACATAAACAGCAGGTTCAGTTTCAGTCTCTGTGTTTAACCAAACTATTACAGAACTGGTAACCAGAGTTTTCTCCATTTTCCTGTAGCTCTTGAAGAAAGCCTCCGGACGCGTACGATTGGTTAAGGCAGTGGACCCCGGTTGCCGTGGGATTGGTTCCACACAGCAGGTCCTTTACACACTCAGCAAACGTAAGAGCCAGCCATAGTGTTACCAGTATGCGACGCCAAATACGTGCGATAAATGATAAATGTGTGCGGGAATGTACGTGTACCTTCATGTGTGCCTGCCCCCTCAGGTCACGAGGAGCACTTGATCCCGTACAGTGTAGTGCAGCCGGTGCAGGTCCAGACTAAGCGCCCGGTCATCTTCTCCCCGTCTCTTCTCTCCCGTGGCCTCATAGAGAGGCTGCTGCAACCAGCAGAGTCTGGTTTGAATTTCAACACCTGCCCACCAGGTATGTGCACAGCAAAAACACTTACACGATGCCCCAAATGCGAGTGAAGAAAAAGGAGATTCTTCACTTGATCGTCACATGATACACCACCGTCTCCTCCAACCTCTGTTTCCTGTGGTTTGCAGAGCCGATCCAGCCTTCAGAGAGACGAGACAAGAGAGTGTTCTTGTTGGATTCCTGCAGTCCAGAGCAGGCTCTGGGCATACGACTGCAGTCAATACAGGATGTCATCAGCCAGGTAATGAAAAGAACACATCATTGTCCTTTTTTTTTAGATAAGATAAAAAAATATAATCTTATTGTTTTTGCTGTTCCTGACAAACACATAGTCACACCTTCTTGTTACTGAATTGTACTGTTTGTAGGTTAAATCCATAAGCCTGTATCAGCTGTTCTTTTCATGTAATAAAGAACATGTTATCCAAATCTTCCTCTTTGTCTCTGTTTCAGGACAAGCACTGTCTGCTGGAGCTAGGCCTGCCCAGTGTTGAGGGCTTATTAAGACAGGGGATTTACCCTATTGTCATCCATATTCGCCCTAAAAACAAAAAACACAAGAAGCTAAGGTAAGTGCACATCCATTTGCTTTGCATGTACAGTAGAGAAAATTCAGTGCCACAGTACACATGAGATCATAGTCGCATGGTGGAACTTCATTCCAGGTTCATTGTACACTAACTATTCATGTTGTAGGTGAATTTTACTTCATGTGCAGACAGTGGGGTATTTTCCTACCTCACAGTAAGCCTTCTTTTGCATGAACCCAACATTTTGTCCTCTAACCTGCTGCATATGACCTTCCAACACTTGAAACAGGAAGTTTTTCCCACGGTGTGGAGAGGAGAGCATAATGGAGGAGGTGTGCCAGGCTGAGGAGCTGCAGCTAGAGACGCTGCCCCTGCTCTACTACACCCTGGAGCCCAGCACCTGGAGCTGCACTGATGAGCTGCTGGCAGCCATACGCAACGCCATCCACAGCCAGCAGAGGGCGGTAGCATGGGTCGAACTGGATCGACTTCAGTAGAGAAGAGATGAATAGAAATAGAAATGTGGATATTCACTGTCTTTGAATGCCAGCAGGCACCAAACTACAGCCAGGTGCTTATAGAGGGTTAACATTTATTGTTAGATCATCTTACTATTCAAAGTGAGGGAACCAACATCAATTTACCTACCTGGAAAGGCCAGATTAGGCCTATGTACATACATGCCAACAGGACTTTTTTTTATCTATATAGCCAAGCTGGACTGGCTACAATGGGGGAATATGGGGAAACTAATTGAATCTAAAATAGATTTGACCCACACAAGGAAGGTAGCCTTTAGTTAGCAGTTTTACTTGACAGTCATGTTATTTTTTTTCCATTAAGACAGACAGTTTTATTATTTAATTGTACTTTCAAACTTATTCTTGGGGAATTACACCGGGTACCCACTTGGGTCACTTGTCATTCAGTTATGTTGTGAGTGGAAAGTTAAGCTGTGAGGACACAAAGAGGGACGGACGGTCCAGGTGAAGGGGATTGTAGTATGTTGTGAGTAGGGATGTAGTGGAGGGTACAAATGTGCTTATCCACATTTTGCAATAAAGACAGTGCCTTTCTTTTTGGAGCTGACATAATCCTAAATACAGGTCATACTTAAAAAATAGCAAACTAATACAACTGCAGTTATATGAACACTGGTTTTTTTTTAAAGGGAAACATTTCTGGATATTTTTTAGGTGAGCTATGTATGACTGAAATGTTTGTATTTACACTACATTGTACAACAGAAGCTTCTTATAGTTAACTATAACTGAATGGTTTTGTTTTTTACTGCCAACTCCTTTTTTCTTTTGTAACCAGTTTTTGAAATAAATGAATACTAAAAAATATTGATTTTTACTTTACTTGTGTGTTCAAATACACAACAGACAACGGGACACCAGTGCAGTTGCTAGATGGGTTGAGGAGACATAACTAATAATCTAAAACAAAAATATAATATAGAAGGCAAACTAATTGTGGTAGACCCACTCACCTAGTCTAGACTATGTTTTTATTCATTCCCACTGTAATAAATACTGTATGTTCTCATTAAAAGTGACAAAAATGCTGTGTTTCTCTGGCAAATCTTCAGGACTACCTGGGAGTGTCAACAGTATTTCTGACCACGGGAAAGAAGAAGAGTCAGCATCAAATCTTGTAATAAATGAATTAATGAAACCACGTAAAACTCTGACAAAGACAAAAATATCACAGTATTCCGCCCAAAATCCAAATAAATACAGATCTCACAATTATTCAGATTATAATCTTTCATACATGGAATAAAAAAAGCTTCAACACTGCAGCTCAGAGCAGCAGCAACGTTACCCCGAGGCCGCCCACAGCCTCGGGGAGGTGATACATTCACACGTTTCGGATCCATTTGTTTGGGGGTTTTATTGTTGTTTACCCATTTGTTTACTTATTTATGCCCCGCGTGTATGACGTGATGTCTCCAGTGGTAAGGCTCCCCCTGGTGGGCGGTGTCGGTGCGCGCCCCTGCTCCTCCTCCCCTCTCTGATCAACAAGCAGCCTGGTGATATCATATGCTGGCTAAACCTCCACACAGAAGCAAAATGGCCGATAGTAAACTAACCGATCATACAGCGTCTGACAGTCATCGAGGGGTTATGCATGTTTTGTTTACAGCTTGAGAACTACAGTCGCTCAAAACGGATACTCGCCTTTCCTCGTTTTTTTTCTACGTTTAACATTTCGCCTTTCGGTGATGTCATTTCTTATTCAATTTAGCCTCGGAAGCCTCGAAGAACTAGCTCGCTAGGCTAGCTACCTTGCTAGCCTGCTAGCGGTAGGTCTGCAAGAATTTTTGCACAGAAGCACTTTATGTCCTATGTGATTCCCGAGGTGAGTGTTTTAACGTTAACGTTACGCGCTTTGGTATATTTCCTGATCAGTATCGTTTGGTATTTCCGCCTTTTCCCCGCCGACAACCTTTAGGTTTCAGTTTTAGAAGAGCTTCGCTTGTTACGCGCTGCAACGGCGAAGAAACGTCACTGAAGTTGGCCGTTGTAGTGTGGCCCTGTCGACCGTTGGTGCCGAGCAGCGCGCTTGCTAGCAGCGTGTCCGTTGGCCTGGTGGTTGTGTTTGGTGAAAAGTTACGAATTCTACCAGTGAACGGTGTGAACGAAAGCCACCATGTGTGTAAAATAAGGCACATATGGTCAGCTAACGTTACGAGCCCGTTGGCTTCAGTCAACTGCGTAGATGTGAGGTCGGTCGCGCGGAGCGACAGAGGCGGCTCGCTCTGGGACAGCGTACCGCCGCGAGCCCGCTGCTGTCCGGGTCACGGCTCGTGCTCAGCAGCCGCTTCACCGTCCACCACCGTCGGCTAGTGGCTGTTCAAACCGAGGCTCTGGTGGTTCACAGTGGCCGCACAGCTCTCGTTTACGGGCCTGGTATTTACATGGAACCCAGGGTTGTCTGCTTCTAATGCGCCTGCGAACATCTGGCTTGTTGGGTCCTCATGTGTTACTTGAAGTGTTTATTGAATATAATGTGTTGGTGCAGTGAGGGGTTAAAGCTGTAAGTTGTCCAGTTAGCTTACGTTAGCGCTGTGTGGCATGGTGCTAATTATGTGCAGCTGAGCTAACAGAAACACTGGGCCCAGTCGTATTTACAGCTCTGTGGTATTTGAGATCCCTTTTACTTTTCCGCATACAACCGGTTTTTGTACCCCCCCCCCCCCCCCC